TTGCTTCTTTTTTTACAAGAGAAATATGCAAATCAAAATGTTAAGCTTTTAACAACTAAATAGTATACACTATACTTACAGCTAAAGCAATACTTCTATTATAGACCTAATGGTATACGCATACAACTTTTGATATAATGTAATCTTTAATTTTCAATTAAAAGTGAAACTTGCCTTGGATTTTGGCTACTGGGGTTTCTCTACAAATAAAAATGATATTAAAATTGCATTATACTCAAGTGTGTGTAATACAAGAAATGATGAACTCAGCAAGCTTAGTGGTGTATCATTCAGGGGGTTTTTTTCTGGTCGGTTTATTAACTTATATTAATAGCCTCATTAGCCAAGACACCAAGCAAAAGTCAAATGTGACCTATGTATTAAAACAGGAAAAAGCTCTGAAGTCATGTGGAACTGATTCTTAACTCAGCGAAATCATTTGAGGGTAAGATGATCTCAAGCAAGTTGCTTAGTCTCAGCTGTATGACACGAGGCTATATTTGTTTCTCCCGTCCGTGCAGCTTAAGGAAGGAAGCAAATGAGGCGTTCCTGCTCTGCATATAGCAGGTGCTTGCTTCTTAGTATTGCCGCTAAGCTGCAGCTTCGTAAAACCGAAATTTTACTCACAGAACCACCCAAATAACAACCAAGGACACTTGTCTTTAGACACATGGTCCTACAGCATCTTTTAATTTTTTTTTTGCAACGCTAATTTGCTTACTCAGCAAACATTTAGTCAGTTACAACTACATGCCCATCAGTAAAAAATTTTTTAACAATACACAATAGTAAAAGAAGCAAACTATTTTGTGCACATGAAATTAGACTTTTTTGGAGGGGTTAATATAAAAGACTCGGTAAAACATAAAATGGGTTAAATACAAATGGGAGCTAAAGGGAAAAAGCAAAACAGGAAAAATAAGTGCCGTTTGGGATGGGGTATGCAGCCTGCCCTCTGTTGACAACAACGTTTGGAAAGAGGTGTATGAAGTTGAAAGGGAAACCAAGCAAAGACCTTAGATAGTGCTTCATTTTCAGGGAAATTGCAGTCATGTGTTCAAGGTGACGCTAGTAAGATTTTTTAAGTGGTAGGCTATAGGTTATAAAAGAAACAGGTTCTTTCAGGGCTGGTGCCCAGAGGCACTCAGAATGGTCCCCCAGCTGACATACTGTGTCATGGGCTTTCCTACAATACAGCCTCTAACAAAACCAGGCTGTCTCAAACCGCTGACAATAGGATCGGTTCCTTTTATACCAAGACGGTCGGGCAAACACCAAAATCCGCACGGGGCATGTGCCTAGACGGACCTCAAGAGGTTCATGCTGTAAGACCTAAAGTCCTGGCGAGAGTGTCTAAGACAAAGAAGCCCATCAGCAGGGCCTCCAGCGGCTCCACGTGTGCTAGGTGTGTCCGTCAAAGGATCAAGGGGCTCTCCTTCTCAAGGAGCAGAAAACGGTTGTGAAAATGGTGAAGGCACAATCACAGAGTCAGAGACTGAAGTAAACATGGAGCTTTTTTTAAAAAAAAATAATAAAAGTCAAGACTTGTTCTGAAAAACAATAATAAATAAATGAAAAGAAAAGAAATGGGGAAAAAATCTAAAGACACCCATGACTTTTTTTAACTGAACCATTAAAACAACTGGAAAAACGTAACTGCGGTTGCTAAGATGAGATTATCGAGGTGGTAGATTTGAGGGGGGAGAGGTACTGATATGTGCACTTGGAATGTAGATTTGAGAAAAATATCAGACGTATTCAAGATTTCAAATGGCCAATTATATTCACTATAGAAAATGGGCATCCTGGAACTTTTCACAACGTCTAACCAAGAGATTCATCAGGACTGGATTGCAGAGGACTGCTGTGTCTTAAACCGTGGGTCATAATTCACGGGACTGAACGCGGAGGTTATGAAACTTTAGAAACAATAAGAGCTGTCTGGATGCATAGAGACTTAAAACCCATTCAAAATCAAATGCATAATGAATTCTAAAGGTATCTGAAAACACTCCCGTGTGCCGCGTCCTGAAACTTCAACCATGGCCTTCGTTCTAGGCAGACAGAACATACATTCAGCACTGCACCTGCTGCCACAGCCAGCAAGGCCAATGAACACTGTCTAAAACGCTCTGGCTCTTATTTTAATTTTTGTCGTGAATTCCAGTGTTTCTTCTTATCATCCACACATTATATTATGAAAACATAATGGTTTAATCAGGGAAAGCAAAGACTGCTAACATTTTTCTCCCATTCCTCTGCATTTAAGTAAAATCAGTATAACTGGGGCTGATTGTGTTGGAATATTTGACCTTAAACATTATTTTTTGACCTGAGTTTCAAAAAAAATTTAATGGATTTTGGCTTAGGATTAGAACAAAATTTCCAATAATTTCTAAAATGGCTCTGAATATAATTCTGCTGTTTTGTACTACATATTTTTGTGAAGCATTGTACTCAAGACTGACAATTATAAAATCAAAATATCAATCAATTCTAAAAATATTGAAACTGCTCCAAGTCATAAAATATCAAATATTCAGTCAAGATATAATTATTTATGTAAAAATCAATAAGCAATTCCATCTCATTCATATGCAAATTTGGTTTTCCCATCATTTTTATTTATTTTACATACAAACCATGATTTTTTTCTTTAATACATGAAAAATAATTTGCATACTAGAGAATTGTTTTAAAATACATTTCTTGGTGATTATTATCACATGTGATATTTGTATACTTATTTTACATACCAATGCTGTGATACAGAAAATTTAAAAGAGGTTCATAGAATAAGAAAAGAGAATAAAAATTAATAGGAAAGGAATCATGAGGTAATAGGAAAAAGTAGAATTCATTATTTGTCAAGAAGACAAGAGAAGGGGGAGATTAGTGTTGCTGGGTGATTTTGATGAGTCAGGCAATATCAAGTCAAGAAGTGCCTATTGACTGTAACTACAGATGACCTTTGGTTACAATGGGATAACATTCAAAAACACTATTTAAAGTTATCAACAACCTTAGTAAGATATGCTGCACTGAAGTAGAGAGATAAAAGGCAGATACAGTGACTCAAACAGAAACTGAGGCAGCAATCACAAACAGTTCCCATGGAATCTTACTAACAAGGGACAGTGTTGGTGGCAATGGAAGCAATTATCAATGAGAAAGGGTTTGATGGGGGTGGCGGCTGCTGTCATTTCTACAGTAAGAGAAGTCCTTGCCTGTTGTATACTGATAAAGGTCTAATCAATAAGCAAAGCTGGGGATGTAGAAGAGAGCCTGTGAGAGTAATTGCTTTGAGTAATTGCTTTGAGCTATAAGAAAAATGAGCACTAGATGGTGAAAAGCAATAATGAGATGGGAGAGCTCTGTGCACTGGCACTGACATTCACTGACAGCGTGCACAGCAGTAGAGTCTTCGAGAAACTCCCTCTTCATTACTTCTCAGTTCACAGTGACATACAAAGCAACATCAGTAGTTCAGGCTCACGTTCTGCAGGTTTGAGAAAATAGGACTGGGCATGAAATAATCTATTTCATAGAGTGAGAGAATAAAGTCAATGTGGGAATAGAGTAAGTTGCCCGTAGTATTGAGGCTCCAATGGGGGGAAATGATCAAAAAGTCCAATTCTATTATTAATTGCTACACTAAAGGTGGTATATATGTATAGCTCTAAAAGGGAATAAAATTCTGGCATATGAGCGGAGGTGTGAAATAAACAAGTCACAAAAAGACAAAACCGACAACTCCATTTCGATGAGGGACCTGAAGGGTCAAATTCATAGAAATAGGCAGTAGAATAATGATTGTCGGGAGCTGGAGATGTGGGGAGAATGAAGGGTTATTAGTCCATAGGAATGAAAAGTCATATTGGGAAGGTAAAAAACTCCAGAAGTGAGAAGTGAGAATGCTTACAATTTCAATAAACTCTACACTGGTAGATTTTTCATTGTATTTTGAAATATCTAAAGTAATTTGTCAAACTAAAAGAAAAAAGGGAATTGGATTGTATGGTGGTGTGTTTTTCCCTAGCCATGTTTAGCTATGTGGGAGAGTGGATGTGGCATTCTATTTAAATATCATTGTTGTTTTGTTCTTCACAGTCAAGTAACATGTCACTAAAATAATTGGCCATATCGTTTTCAATGAAAAATGGGATAATTGAGGATAACCACAAGAGTTACAGGTATTGGGGCTGGAGAGATGGCTCTGAGGTTAAGAGCACTGACTGCTTTTCCGGAGGTCCTGAGTTCAATTCCCAGCAACCACATGGTGGCTCACAACCATCTGTAATGAGATCTGGTGCCCTCTTCTGGCCTGCAGGCATACATGGAAGTTGAACACTGTGTACATAATAAATAAATTTTTAATAAAAAAAGGAGTTACAGGTATTAATGGGTTGATTAAATTATACCTGTTTGAATAAGATTTGCCTAGTTGCGATATTAGAGGACATGAACTAGGCAAAAACAGAAAGTATTGAAAACATGGATGCTTAGAGCTGAGGTTATAAAAGGTTAAAATGCTACATGTTAGCACAGATAAAGATAGCATTTGGGAGTAAATGATTTGTGGTTGGATGGAGATCAAAAACAGGAACTTCAAGAACAGAGAAGTCTGCTATGGGATAATGCTCTTGTACACTGTAAATATTTGTCACTCATATTTAATAAAACACTGTTTGGCCAGCGGTCAGGCAGGAAGTATAGGCAGGACAACCAGACTAAAACAATTCTGAGAAGAGGAAAAGCAGAGAGTCAGTCACCAGTCAGACACAAGCATGTTGAGACACATGAAGCAAGATGAGAATGCTGCACCGAGAAAAGGTGCCAAGACACATGGCTAAACATAGACAAGAATTATGGGTTAATTTAAATTGTAAGAACTAGTTAATAATAAGCCTGAGGTAATAGGTCAAATGGTTTATAATTAATATAAGCCTCTGTGTGTTTCTTTGGGACTGAATGGTTGCAGGACTGGAAAGGGCAGAAACTTCTGTCTACAGAAGGAAGAGTGCTGGAAGTGTTATCTATGCCAGTATTAGACCCACAGTGAATTATAACAGATGGATTAGGGCACTGGAAGTACCATGCATGCAGATGCTAAAATCACTGCAAATGAAACAATAACATTAGCTGAAATGCCTGCAGTCCAGGAGCTTAAGATTCAATGAAGAAAAGCCATTAGATGAGGTTCAGGCAAATAATAGAAGACAATAAATGTTTGCAAAGACTAAGAGTCTAAGTACAATAATACAGCCTCACAAAATAGCATTAAAAGCCTAAAATTTGCAAAGAAAAGAGGAAAGAAAGATCTGGAAGTAGCAGAGGACATGTACCACCCACAGGCCCAGTGGTATAAAGAGTGTAAAAGAATCCACATGCTCTCATCCTTAGAAAGTTGAGTAGAAGTGTCCTGAGTCCGTTAAATGATGACATTAACGTTATGAGAAAAATGTTAAATGACAAACGGATGTTTCTCAGTAATTGACAGTAAAGCCTAGTCATTTCCCTCCCCCAAAACCCTGTCTGTAATGCTGCAGTCAGATGTACTGGTGCAATAAAAGATTGTTACCTTCCACAGACAACATGGAATACAGCTTCCATCAATAGGAGGAAAGTGTATACTGTGCATTCTTCTATTTCCTTTTCCTTTTGTCTTTGAGACAGGGTCTTGCCAGGAAGCACTGTAATGTATGCAATCACCATGGTATCCCCCTGAGTTCTGGGATTACAAGTGTACACCAGCATGCCCAGCTTGGAAAACGCATTTTGAAAGTCTTGAGTAGCTGCTGAAGGAGTCTCTGGGGCCTGAAGGAAGGAAAGTGGGGATCAGTTCTTGATTGTTTTCTACATCCACAGTAGAACATGGACAAGAAAGAATTAACTGGGTATTAGATATTGTCAAAAGGTGAGAGCAGCTTGACAGTCAGCAATTCTCAATAAAAGATAAGTACAACAAAGTGTATCTACAGTGTCATGGGTAAAAGTGTAAGTATCTGAATTTTCCTTGATGGGGGTGAGGACTATACCTATCTATGAATATAAGAAGAAATATTTAGAATGGTGGTTGTTTGTTCTCCACAAGTTCACTATGTAGCTGTCTAGGTTTTCAGTGCCAGATATGATTTCCCTCCTGTTGAGCAAGTCTTAAATCCAATTAGAGAGCCGTTGGCTACTGTCAAGTATGCTTGCCACTGCTGTACTTTTAGCTACGGTGCTGTGCTGATCATTGTTGTACAGAAAACCACAACCAGTCAAAATGCAGAGCTGGGGAACCCAGTCCCCACAGATACATCTGCAAGTCAGCTCCTGCACCGAAGGCTCAGGAAACATTGCAGAAGAGGGAGTAGATATATTTCAAGAGCCTGAGGATCAAGAAGTTTGTTATGGTATTGTATCTCTTGGTAATGTCTGAAAGTACACCCATAAAGTCTCCCCAATATGACTGCCCAAACATGAACTGATTGTCAGATCTTACCCACTACCCTGGACAGTTGCTCCATAATTACTATGTTTTTATGGATTAACAAATCATTATAATTGCACAGTTCTGCTTTATTTAAATGTCCAAATTTAGTAGTTACATGTGACAATTGAAAGGCTTACTCCACATTTTTATGCATACTATCTAGCAATTATTGAGTATAGAGTGTCTTCCATGTCTATGAAAAGTACTTTATATAATGTGTGTGATTGCATTCCCCAGGTCCTATGCTAAGTATTTTGTATATAGAGTATGTGATTATTTTTTCAAAACACTTTAATTCATTAATACAATTTTCCCATTATGCAAATGAAGAACCGAAAGTCAAAAAATGCAAATGACTCATTTGGAATAATGAGTCTTATGAATTGAAAATCTGGAACTTGAACTAAGGTCTTTTGGGTAACAGCGATATTCATAATGGTTGATGTGAGTCAGGAAATACATGCATAAGCAAATACAACAGCCTCCTCATGGAACATAAAATTTTTATCAGCTGCAAAATAGATGATAGATACACGCCATGAGAGTACATTGAATTAACACCTACCATAGACTGGAGTCACTGGGAAATGCATCCCATGGGTGGAAGCTGCCAAATGAAGGAAGAAATAGAAAAGAATATTTTAGGCAAAAGTGACAGTGGAAGACAGACAATATCAAATGGCTCCATAGAGAAATGGACATTGATGGTTATATCTCATTTTAATTGAAATATATATTGTTTGTCAACTTAGAGCTACTTGAGTTGGGCCTTTATCAGTACTCCATCCAGCATCAATATACTCCAAAAGGATGAAATAATAATCAAGGTCAGCGACTTGCACAAATGTCTAAAACAAGAGCTGCGAGAAAATAATGTTTATACATAGTTTTTCTGAAGACCTTCAAATTTCTGTGCATGTGCACAATTCATGTGATGACATTTTTCTGAAATAATAAGTACAAATTATCCTCTAGGCTTTCAACATTAGTAGTCAAACATTTTCAGTTTGTGTCTAAAAGGGCAACTATAATAATAAGTCGTTTTAAATAAGAATCTCTTTTTATTGTAAAAAACTAACAAATCTTGGGCTTGTGGTTTGTAGTCTTACAATAGGTACTATCAACACAGACCAATCCACTCTCCAACTCCATTCCACCAGAAGGAGAAAACTCATGTGAACCTAATATAGAGGTTACCATGTGGGACTGGGTCTTTAGAGCTCCCCAACACTAGTCCTGCTAATATAATCAATAAAAGAGAGATATTTTTCAAGGAAATATGCAGCTATTTCTGGAACAAGGGTCACTGTTGGGTACAGAGCATTTGTCAATTGAGTCATAGTGAGGCAAAGTCCTATGGTACAGAATATCTCATGAGGTATTCCTCATGATACCACAGTTATTACAGGGCCTTTGGCAAAATAAGATTAAAGAGAGATTCTACCTCTACCAACATAAACAATCTAAGGACGTTTGTGAACAACTCACAGCTCTGAATAGCACCAATGTGCCCTAATGATTTCACTTTTACAGCCCTGATGAAATAAGAGACAGAAAGAGCACACAGCTGAGTGAAGAGAGAGAAGAATAAAAGAGTGGGGAAAGGAAATAAAAAGGAGAGTTAGAGAGAGGGAGGCCCCTTAAAACAATAGCAAACAAAGAAGAACTAGGAATGAATGTGACCTATGGTGATGTGAAGTAGAGACTGGGGTATGATTTGTTGCTTTGTCCCTCTGTGTCTGGTGTCCTGTCATTGTTATAAACCAGAAAGAAGTCATGATACAGGATGACCCATCAATGTGGCCCATCTAGTTTAACTTCTCACAGCACATAGTATCACAAACAAATAGACAGTGGATGACTGTGGATCTGAGTGGGCAAAGGAGACCCAGCACAGCAGCTGAAGTTGCTCCCCATAAGTGAACGCACCTGTGTGCATATGCTCAACAACACACAAAGCTTTGTCTAGTCCTTTCTTCCCTTGCAGTGTCTTCTATAGATATACAGATGCCTAAAAGATCAAGCTACATCCTCAAAGAGCAAACCATAAGAGCTGCTATTCCTCATTATAAAATTCTTCACACCAAGTACAGATAAGAACAAACTCATATCAATAACTATAAAATAATGGTAAAGAAAATAAGAGCTATCATTGAGAATAACTCTTTATCATCTAACTGAAGACATAATAAAATATCTCTCAGATGTTTTCATAATCATTTCTCATGCGTCTATCTTCTTCATATTTTTTTCTCTGTTAGATGGCTTCATTAGTGATCTAAAAAAAATTCAGAGGTTTCTTCCTTAACTGTAGATTAATATAATACCTATATTTTCAATAAATAAAATTCATTTCCATTTTCTCAACAATATGAAGATAATTTTGACTTTTATCATAAACACATGTGTATCAATGACAATGCATAAAGACCAAATGAAAATCCTGCTAACCCCCCTTCTTTTAACCCCCCCTTCACATCCCTTCTCCCCCAGTTTCACATCCAATCTCCCTCAGTTTCTCTTCAGAAAAGCACAGGCTTCCCAGAGCTATTAACCAAACACAGTGTAACAAGTTACAATAAAACAAGGCACAAACCCTCATATCAAGGCTGGGAGAGGCAGCCCAGTAGGAGGGAAAGGGTCCCAAGATCAGGCAAAAGAGTCAGAGCGCCCCACTCTCACTCTTTGGGGTACCACACAGCACCAGTGCAGAGGAGACCCATGCAGGCTCCATGACTGCTGTGCCCTGTGAGCCTTATGAGCCCAGCTTAGTTGATGTTTGTGGGCAGTGTTGTTCTGGTGTCCCCAAACTTCCTGGCTCTTAAAATGCTTCCTTCCTTCTTCTGCGGGGTTCCCCTCACTCCAAGACCTAATGGAGATCTCCAATTTGGTATCTCACTTCCTAATGTTTGACTGTGGGTCTCTGCATCTGCTTCCATCAGCTACCTGAGGAATTCACTCTGATGATGATTGGGGTAGGCACCGATCTATGTGTAAAGCAGAATACCATTCAAAATCATTCTAATGATTTTTTTCCTATCCTTGGTCTCTGGGCCATCCCGCCTCCAGTTCCTGGTCATTTAGGCAGTGTTGCGCATGGGCTCCCTCTCATGGCGAGGGCCTCAAATCAGACCAGGCATTTCTTAAAGTTCAAAAATCATTTTAACAGTTATCAAACCTGGGAAATCGATATACATCCCAGTATGGTAGCCAGCTGATACTGTACCCCAGTTGTGGTTGAACAAATGTTTAAAGTCATAGAATTTTAATGCCAAATATAGAAATTTTAAATTTAAACTGAAAATAGCAAAATAGCAGGATCTCATGGGGGTTTTTGTTGTTGCTATTGTTGTTTTGGGTTTTTTTGTTTTGTTTTTTTCTTGGTTTTTCAAGACAGGGTTTCTCTGTAGCTTTGGAGCCTGTCTTGGAACTAGTTCTTGTAGACCAGGCTGGCCTCAGACTCACAGAGATCCACCCCCTCTGCCTCCCAAGTGCTAGAATTAAAGGCGTGTGCCACCACTGCCCAGCAATCTCATGGTTTCTTAATCTTAAATATAGTATTTATACAGTTTCCTAACTACCCGCTGGAAAGGCCTAGAAGCAAGAACTACTTGGGCGCAATTAAAACTCCCAGCACCACTTGCAGTGGAAGTCCCAGCACACAGTGGTTCACAACTCTCCATAACTCCAGTTCCAGGGGAGTCAACGCCTCTTCTAATTGGAATAGGTACCAAGCAGGCTCACAGTGCACACATACATGCAGATAAAACACTCACCCATAAGATTGAGTGAATAAATATTTTTTTAATTTTTAAAGAAAAATAAAATAAAATCACTCCATAAACCGAAAGTCTGTTCAGAATTTTTAAGCAGTCATAAAATTTCCTTCACTCTCGGACTTGCAGAATATCTTCAACTCTCTAAAACTGTTTTGAGATAAATGAAAAGATTGTAAAAAGCCGGTACATAGAAGCTAACAAGCAGCTGTACTTAAACCATGTATACATCCTATTTAAAACTCAGCACCAGAGAAATCCCTGTGGAACTCCTTCACTAGCGAAAAAGGGGGTCACTATACCTAACCTAGGGCTGCTGAAGGGGTATATCAACAAGTTACAAGGCAGCTGTCTCCAAAACTAGTCAATTGTCACAAGTTAATAAAATAAGAGACTGTGAATTTAAAACTCCAGGTTCCAAGTTGGTCTTATTGTTTTCTACACTTGTTCTGCCAGAGCAGTTCAAAACCAGCATAGGGTGGACAGGCTTCCTACTGTGGAAAGAAACCTCAGGGAGCTCTCACTGTGCGTGGAAGAGTCTTCTGGGCTTGGTATTTCATGCTAACACTCCTCCAGCTGAAATCCGCCTTAGAAAACACAAGCTAAAGCATCCTCTCTGCCTTGGGACGTGTCCTTTCCCTTTGTCCTTGACTCAGTCACTGTTCCTTTGCTGGGGCTGGCTTCCAATTTTAGAGGGTTAGTCCACGATCATCACGGTGTGAAGCACACAAGCATGGAGCTGGAGCAGTAGCCGAGAGACTTACAACCTGATTGGCAGGCGGCAGGCAAACAGAAAGACCAAGCATTCGAACATAGGAACCTATAAGGGTTGCTCTCACCCAAACCACCATGAACAAGACCATCAAGAAGAGTTCTACAGCTGTGTGGGTGCCGCCGGACAGGGCAGTGAGTGCAATCGGGCAGGAGGGAGTTCCTTTGTTCTAATAGCCTGTCTGCAGGAAGGTAGGACTGCAGGCAGGGAGATTCCTGGCCAACAAGGGGCACTGATCCTGTAGCAGAAGACTCAGCGGTGGGAAGAGCTATTGGAGAGCATCTGAAGGAAGAGATGGGCAGGCGCCAAGGCAAGAAATTCTCCAACAATCTGAAAAACAACATGAAAACACCAGATCCCAGCGATCTTACTACAGAAGGACTTGAACACCTTATTCCGGAAGATGTGGAAAACAGTGTCATTATGAAAGCAATAGAGTCCCTTAAACAGGGTATGAATAACTCACTTACAGAAATGTAAGAGAAGTATAACAGAAAGATTGAAGAAATGAGTAAAGAATTGGAAGAGAAGTATAACAAAAAGTTTGAAGAAATGAGTAAATCTGTAAACGACACCCTGGGAAACCAAGAAAAAACAATCAAACAGGTAATGGAAACAGTTCAAGAATTAAAAACTGAAATGGAGGCAATGAAGAAAACATAAACCAAGGGCCAGCTGGATATGGAATATCTAGGTAAACAAACAGAGACTTCAGAAACAAGCATAACCAATAGATTACAAGAAATAGAAGAATGAATCTCAGATTATGAAGACACCATAGAAAAAATAAATGCTCTGTTCAAAGAAAACAGCAAATCCAACAAATTCTCTTCACAAAACATTCAGGAAATCTGGGATATAATATAAAAACCAAATCTAAGAATAATAGGGGTAGAAGAAGGAGAAGAATTGCAGATCAAAGGTCCAGAAAATATATTCAACAAAATTATAGAAGAAAACTTTCCCAACCTAAAGAACGATATTCCTGTGAAGGTTCAAAAAGCATACAGAACACTGAATAGACTGGATCAGAAAAAAAATCCCCTTGCCATATAATAA